GGCCAAGAACATACAAATTACCGTTTTCTGAGAGACTGTAGGCAATCTAGATACAATTCTGTTGTCTGATATGGAAAAAACTACTGTATTCATGACTGGTTTTCTTAATTTTTCATTGAAAATGACAGTTTAAAATATGATTTTTCGTCTTGATTACCTACAAATCATGCCCCGAAACACCTTATTTGACCAAGCTAAAGTTATAAAGCATCATTAAAGGGATTTATTTCTCAAATTTGAGAAATCTGTAGGCATCCTTCATTTACTAGATCTTGACCTTAAATGAAGATGTGTTGTTAGATATTGATATATTCTTCAGACTTTTTGTGGTCTAAGCCAGTAGAGCTACAGTCTGTGTTGAGATTCCTGGTTAATTTATATATATCTGTTCTATATTTTAGATGCTGGCTTGGCTGCTGTTTGATTCCCTTCTGTATGCCTGATCTACAGGATGTCAAACACACCTGTCCAAACTGCAATAAACTTGTTGGTGTTTACAGAAGAATCTGAATACTATGGTGGAACAGGAACAGTCTTTGTTATTTAGAGTTTCAATATCGGTGATGTGTTTTTAATTCATTGTTGAGGGTAATAGTGAAACTTTTTTTTGTGGAAGAAGAATTTAATTTGTAAAGTATTGTTTCATTTTCTTAAAATCATCATGGATTTTGTGAAATGTTTTTAACACTGGCTCCAAATTTTATATTTTTTGCAAGCAATTAGGTAAAATCTGAAAATATTGAGGTAGGAGTTTTGGTTTAATGTAGATGTATTTAATTTCATCTTTGCATTAAACTTCATCATTTTCATGTCAAAGAAAAAACAACGAAATTAAATCCAACAAAAATTATTTTGTTAAATTTCAGAAATTCATTTCTTAAAGTCTGAAATACATGCATATATGTTTCTGTTATCTGTAGTCTTTTGTAAAACCACACAATTTATCTGATCTGTTATCATTACACTTTGTTCAGCTGTTGTATGCTGTAAAAAAAAATTATCATTCATTTAATCAATGAAAAATACACAGGTGCAAATAAATACATGTGCAATGAAATATGCTATCTGATCATGATCACTCATGCCGACAGAGCATCTAACGACCATTAGGACTCAAGGAATGGATGTTAATGGTGTCGTATGTCCACATCAAGTTATCAAAATATAGCCATAAACACTTAAGTTTTTCTCTGCACCTGCGAACTTTGGTCCATGTAGAAACCATAATTATTTGCTTGTTCATACATGTACAACATGGCTTGATTATCTCGTGAATTACATCCTCAGTAGACCACCAATAGGATTAGTTACGCTCCATTGCACATGGCTCTTGAGAATTTAATTCCAAATTGTAAAATACTATTTGGTACATGTACATGATTTTGCGACAATTTATGATAGCTTTATGAGCATAAAATTTATGCTATTTACTTAACCATTGCAAATTTTAACAAGGATTTAAACAGGTGGTGATCAATGATACATATTGAAGAAATTAAGATAAAGTTAATATAATTGAATTGTAAACAAAATAGCTTATGTTCAACAATTTGATTTGTAACTATATAAGCTAAAAAGGGTAACCATCAAGTATTGATTTGTCTTTTAATGGGTGTTAACAACAGTATATGAATATGCTTCATTAAACTATCGGTATATGATATATGTATGGTATATTCATGTAAGTGACAATATTTACAATTTGAAGTGTTTTTGTTTTTTAAGGGATAAAAAAAACAATGAAAATTAAGCAACAGGAAATCATGTGCAATGCAAAAACAATGATTTTTTTTCCGTAACAAAATAAAGTACGTCTTGGTATTTTTCAGATCATTCATTACTTATAATAATATGAACAGTGAATTAAGTCCCAGCCATTTAAAATGAAGTTTTATTGGTATAGAGCTAAATTAAGTTTTCAGAGGACCCCCATTCAGGTAATCCTGAAGTCAGTGTTTGTCAGATTATATTCAATCATTAGTTGAATGTACAGACAGAATATATAATCAGTTACATAATCTTCTGGAGGCAGATTTTAAAGAATATTTTAAAGAATTTAAGAATAGGGAATAAATGACCAAAAGGGAAAACACAAATATTTACCTGTAATTGCTGGAGGTTGTATTAATTGATAAGATGTATCTTTCAATTTGAAATTTTATGCCTCCTGATCGAAAGATCCCGGGGGTAATTTTTTTTTGTCCTGTCTGTCTGTTTGTCTGTTGTCAACTTTAACCTAGCCCATAACTATTGTGCTGTCAAGGGTAAGGCTTTAATATTTGACATGAGTGTTCATTATGACAAGACCTTTCCATTGGTACAGAAATTTTTGATCATGTGACCTCAACTGTGACCTTTGACCTACATTTGAAAAACTTTAACATTGGCCATAACTATTGCGCTGTAGTCTACGTCCCACTCCAGAATTGTGTTACCATCAGGGGCATAGTGTTTCACAAACACATCTTGTTTTTTTTCTTTTTTTGTAATCTGTAATTTCTAAATAATCACTAATGAAAGAAATTTATATTAATTTTGGTTTTGTTAAAAAAACATGTAAATGTATTGTTGTAAATTACAGTCGAGATTCTTTAATCCAGACACTTGTGTTTCCAAGCAATTGTCTGACAATATGACTGGATTAAGAAAAGTCTGGATTACTTAAACATACTTCGTGTATTGTTCTCCAAAAATTTCTTCGGAGGGTGAAGAGTATCTTTTTTTAACAAGGCTCCACTGTATTTCAGATGATTTATTATTAGGCTAATACATATATACATGTACATTACTACATATATATATATAGCAACAAAAATATAAGTTTAACATTTACATGTAACTAGACACAAGCTGATGTACAGATAATTTTTTTTTGTCAGAAATAAAATATGCAGCCCATGTATAAAGAATATATAACATGTATAATGTAAGAAAAATTAGATTTCACTGAATTTGGTGTAGTTTATTGTGACTATATACCTGTACATGTAAATATTCATTGTTAATTATTTCACCGCCTTTTCAGTAATCTCTGCCTATTTATTGCTACACTGGTGTTAAACAGTTGTTATCTGTTTTCTGTATTTTGATATTTTACGGAGTATGTACTATGTTATTTGTTGTACATGTTGTAGGAATCACTCATTTGCAATGGTATCTATAATTGTTTTTCAACTTTCAAACAAATGCACCATACAGTGTATATTTGTATCCAAGAGTGAAGATATTCATAACAGAAGAAATTGTTATAGATATTCATATAATTTATAATTATATTTTATCTTGAGTGACCAAAGACTCAAGAGAGCCTTTTCTGCTCAAAATCTGTTGTTTATATAATAATCAAAATTGCATAATAAGAAATTTATTTCTTGAAATATATTTTTCCATTCTTTGAAACAGAAAAATAAAATAAACTAATAACTAGTCTCTGTCAATTCTTTTATGTACATGATTGGCTAAGTCATGTAGATCTATGTGCAATAAGGTTTATTTTTATCAATTTAGATTTTGGCCGAGCGTGTTTCAAAAATTGTCCTCATGCAGAAGTAAATATACCCTTAAAAAATGATTACAGCGAACATGCTTATAATGAAGTCAAGCAAAGTGATTTTTATTCCCGGTAGTTTCAAAACATATTACGAACTTACCAGATAAAAGGAAGTTTATGATGAATCAAATTTGTTCATCACTGACTCTGTAATATGTCTGTTTTACTGTAGTGGTAGCAAAATACTCGTCTCATTCTGCAATACATGTATCGGATTTGCCATGATCTGATGATTTGCAATAAGGATTTTAAATTTTGACTTCTGCTTAAGGGCTCATTTATGAGAACTTTATTTTCACCTCATTTTGCAAGAAATCAACAAGAATAAATTACCGGTACTTTGATTATTCAGAGAAGATGAAAAAGTTAAGACTTTGGGAATAAATGTAATTCATAATAAGTGAAGTATACATAAAAATTTTAAAATAATTAAAAAAAACCACATATTTGCAATGTGAAGTTTACTAAGATTTTTACATCACATTATATTGCAAAAATTAAAAAAAAATTAATGGATGTGTCTAAATACCCTTAATAAAATTAACTGAAAATTTCATCAAAAAAAATTTCTAATCTGAAATCTGTTCTTCAAAGTATCCTTGTTTTGATCTCCATGCATTTAATAATGTCCACTATAAAAACTTCATCCTCTGCAATTTTTGTGCTCTTCCAAAGGGAAACAAATACTAGTGGCCCAAGGGGTACAATGCTCACCTGAATAATTCTTTTCTTGGTAAATCATAGGTTATTTAAGAAATAATTCATGCGTCGGAGGAATTGTTGGAAAATATACCCTGATACTTGATAAAGATGAGCCTGAAGGGCGAGGTTTTTATTTGCCCACAAAATCTCGAGACTGAAGGGTATATCCATCAATTCCAATGACGAGGGAATTATTTCTATTCTGCTACGGTGAATATATAATTTTCTATATAAAGAAATGCAGAAGCTAGATTTGGATGTCATCAGTAGTACCTTATGACATCACAATTAAATACTATCCTCGTTCATTGTATCTCAAGCCTTAGAAAAAGTGGGATGTTATCAGAACCCAAAGTAAATTTTTTCCCACCAATTTGCATCACAATCAAAAGATACCCCTATCCTTTTCCCAGTGAACGCAGTCAAAATTAGAGGAAACCGATTTAAATTTATTGGAGAATAATGGCCACAGCATCTCTTTGATCTTTGTGATAACCGTAGAAGAATAAAGATTATAAAGCCAAAAGTACTGTGAATGCAGTGTATGTGGAGTTATAAAGCTTAATTAAAATATAATGAATGTATGAAATACTTTCATGAAAGTATGCTCTGGTATCAAATGTTCAATGAGATGTAATACATAATATGTACTTTAACTATTATTTTAGTTGTACCAGAAACAATCTGTCCAGTCATCCAGAAATATGGATTGGATTTAGTGTTCTCAAAGCATAACTAATAATGAGCATCCTTAGATACACAATTCATGAACATTTTACTGCATTTACAAAACAAGCAAAAAACTTTTTTTTAAGTGTATTAGTTTATTGGATAAATAACAAGCAATAATTGCTAAATATAACAACACATGTTTGCATGACTGAGGATAAAATGCCTTTTTGAATCACAGCCAATAGTAAAAGACTATACCCACAATTAATGTGAAACATGAACTTACAATAATGAGTTTAAAATGTTTGAGCACCAAATTATAAAAAAAATGAAATATCCAGTACTGTCTCAAATGAATTAACTTTGCCAAAGTCGATACATATGGTCAATTAATGGCATAATACTTAAACCAAATGTCTCTGATGAAACTGTTGCTCTACTGGTTTGAAACAACAGACTAGAAAATTTGCACATAGATTTGTGATATATGTGCATTTCTTTTCTGAAAACATTTCAATTTAATTCTGACAAAAAGGTGAAAAAGCAGCAATAATATCTTAAAAGAAGTTTTTAATTATAGATGAGATCATTGTAATGGAAATTGATATCAAGAATAATTGTGGCTAAATGAATTCTACAATATTGCCAAGCTTCATTCTAAAATGTTAAATACAGAAGTATATGTACATCATGAAGAAGTCTTCTAGTGTACAGAGTGAACTTAACATCAGGCCAAACAGCAGAAGGTAAAAGCATTTTAAAAATTATTTTAAATAATCATGATTGCAACTTCATAAGTCAAAATTAAAGCTTGCAATAAAGTTTATTAAGATTTATGAATTGTTTACCAAGTTTAATGAAATCACACTTAGTCACTATGACTGTAGGAGGAGTAACATTTATAAAAATTAATTACAGAGAGACGGGCCAACAAATAAAATCCAAACATTTTACCAATGCATAAGCTCTTTCAATATTGGACCTGTAGGACTAAAACAACAAATTAAATAAATTTAATTTTACATTTGTTGAAAATACTGATCTCTCACAACATCTTGATTTAATTTTCCTGAGAGAAAATTTAAATTTTAGAGCAGAAATAAACAATAGGAACAAAATCATTAATGAAACATTAATTATATTTTGGAATCTTCAGGGTGTCACATCAAGTTGTACTGGATGATACTGAAATGTTTGTTCTGTGTTTTCTTCTGCAGATGATATCACCATACATTTAATGTCTACTGTGTATTTTCCTTCACAGTGAATAAGGAAAGAAGGATTGATCAACATGTCTTGGCCACCCTTCACCTAAAGAAATGTAAAAAGAAAAAAAAGCAAAATTTAGTTTAATATCTATTATCCAGTCATTTTTTTTGTGGAAAATTTATGTTTAAAACGTATTGCTGTTACATGTACTGCATACTTTCTAGATATTTTCTAGAGGCATGTTCAAATAGGAGGCCCATGGGCCTTACTATTCACACGAGTACCATGAAACAAACTCTTTGACACATATCCTTCAGGTCTTCTTCCCAATACGAATTTGTTGACCCAACTGCCCACAAGGACTATAACTTAGAAAAACCCCAATATACACTGCATGATGATGCTTTGCTTATTAATTTGAGAATCTGAAACTTTGGTTTTTTTCGATTAATTAGGGAATTTATGAAAATTAGTTTTCTATGTACAATCTATAAAGTTTTGAACCCCTTTAGTTGCCTCAGCCTTGTCCTAGGAGCCATGATACAAACAAATCTGAACTGACATAAGGGTGCTATCCAATTAATTTCACATACAGTGTATCACATAACACAGACAAAATACATGTATTAAAAGATTTTCATTTAAGAAAAGAGGGACTGATCAACATGTCTTGGACTTCCCTCCCTTAAAGAAAATTTTCATGTTCAGGTAAGTCTACCTGTACCCCTTAGAGGGCCCCTTAATTGAGTGTGATAATTACTTGTTGTTTTTGGTGAGTAGCTGTTCAGGAAACAGTCAGTAACCTGATTGACCCAGGAATTCAAAAACATTTCATGCTTTGAGATATTACGTGAATGTGTTAGGGTACCATAGATTAAAAAAAAGAATTTCCACGTAATGACCCAACATAACATATATTACAAGTAAATACTTACCGTTTCAAAGAAGGCAGTGTTGACTCCCACCACTGTAACATTATCACAGTCAGCTTCACCCTGGTGACAGGTTACATAGAGTAAGGCACTTCTGTTGCAAAACTCTTCTGAAATATTACATACTCAAATTTTCACATTGGCCCAGCTTTTTTTGAGATTTTTAAAAGACTTTTTTTACTCCTCTATATTCTTATAAAATATTGACCACATATTGTGGTCCCATCCTACCCTCTGGGGCCAAGATTTAAACAAACTTAAATTTGCACAACCTGAGGATGCTTGCATGGTAAAAAGAGTTTCATATGCAAAATTTTTATATAACTCTCCCTTGGAGGAGCCTGATTCAAACTCCTGACATGCACTTCCTGAGGATGTTTGCCTATCAATATGACCAGTCATAACCTTGCTATTCTTAGGAAGATTTTTCCCTGTATATTCAGATGTAAAATGTTTGTCCCCTATTGTGGCACCACCCTACCCCCAGGGACCACGTTTTCAATAAACTTGATTCTGCGCAACCTGAAGATCCATATTAATATGATTAATTATAGTGCTGATGTCCTTGAAAAGATTATTTTTAAGGATTTTTTCCTATATCAAACTTTAATCCCTTATTGTGGCCTCATCCTACCCCTCCACCTCCCTGGCCATGATTTGAACAAAATTAAATCTGCACTGCCTGAGGATGTTTGCATAATAATATGGATAATCATGGCCCTGCTGTTCTTGAGAAGTTTTCTAAATGTTCTTTTTCCTAGAAATTTCCATGTAAAACGAGTATTCCCTCTTGTGGCCCCATCCTACCCCCAATGGCTATGAACTGAACAAACTTGATTTATTACTAGTGAGGATGCTTGTATATTAATATGACTAATTTTGACCCCTGCTGTTCTTGAGAAGATTTTTTCCTACAAATTCCCAAGTAAAGCTTTGATCCTTTATTGTAGTCCCTGGAGACTATTTTCATGTGACTTTTTTTTTTCAAGACATAAGAAAGCCAAAGATGCATGTAAAAGGATAAAATCAATGTATCTTGTTGGAATTTCCATTAAACTTTGCATCACTTCTACCAATAATTTTGAGTGAGATACATGTATATACATGTACATATATCAATCCTTTACTTATAATGAACATAAAATACCTTCATTAATGGTCACTCTTGCCACTACATCAAGGCAATCCATCACAGACAAATCTAATGACTTCGTCGTGGGGAAAAATGCACCATTTAGCTTTACCTCTGCAATAAATGAGTTACACTTAAATACATGTACCTGGTACACAGTTTTTCAAAAAGAGCATTTAATTTTATTGATTGTATTAATTGTCCTATGAAAACTTACCCCATACAATTGGTGAAATCTGAATTTGATTCAGTTGCTCATCAGACCATACTATATGATCTATAGAGACTTTTCCGCAAGTCTTTAAAGAAGGCTACACAGCAGTTAAAGAAAAAATTCTGAAAATTCATTACACCAGAGCATATACATGTAAATTATCAAAATATTTAATAGAAGAAGAAAAATGGACAAAGGATGACTGCACTTAAGGACATGCGGAATTTGCGACAAAATAAACTTTAAAAACAAGCATTTTTCTTTTCATTGCAAGAATGGTCAACATCCAATCTACAAATTTATGTAATTACGTTTAATAAAAGTGTGTATTTACGAAGTTCGAATCTGTTTTCAAAGGCAGGGGTCATCACAATTTCTTTAATCTCCGTTCGATAATGAGGACGCCCACTTTTTTACCGACTTTATACATAGTCAGCGCATGTTTGTCTATTGTTCTACGTTTAACAGTAGTTGTATATTTGCATAAATAATAATGTGTCAAAAGGAGATTAATAGACAAACATGCGCTCATGGTTAAAAAGAGAAAAAACTGCTTCTTCTTACATTCGCTCTCTGTGTTGTAACCAAGGATTGCGACATGTTGAATATTATAATTCACCACGTGATTTCTTACCTCAGGTAACTTTGTGAATACTAAATTTCGTCACGTGACTTGTAAGGTAGCATGTTTTGTGCTAACTAGAACATTGTGTTCGAACACGTTAAGTCATCTGGCATTGATATAAAATCTGCTTTAATTACATTGACGTGCTCGTATTGTTAATTTCGTTTTGAAACCTTTGTCAGAAGTGTATTTGTGCCATACAGAATGGAGAAAGAGATTGGAAAGAATGATCACGTTCGCTTTTCCAAACATGTCATTGTTTTTTATCAAGTCTAATTTTAGACCCATTCTTACAATGTTAGCTCCACCTCTCATGCATATCTAATGTTCAATCAAGGGCAGGTAAGTGTAAATTCACTATATTTGGAAAGCAGTAGGGACAAAAAACATTGAATAATTTTATTGTATCACAGTCTAAAATCATTTTGAGATTTAAATCTGGTTCCAAATTGACAGTATTCTTTCATAAACATACTAAAGTGAGATAAGGTTTAGATATACAAGCAAAAGAAGCAACCGAAAAAGACCCAAAAACAAGCGTTAAGTGCAGTCATCCTTTCTTGTATAAACAAGGATACACATACACAACTAAATTTTTATAACAAATTATATTCATCAAGATGAAAATTAGTTAAGTTTGTTTGAAAATGAATTTCTCCCTTTCTTTTTAAATTTGTTGTTGAAAAGGATACCATTTCCCATCGGATGTCTACAAACTGGTTTAAATAAGTACTGTAATGATTTGCTAATCTGCTTTGTCTGGCGTGGCTCCTAAGATGAGTGTTGTCTGGTAATGAAGGAAATTCACATCTCTCTATTTCAACAGCAATTCTATAATAAAAATATAAAATTATTAACAAATAACATTGAAATTCATTTGATACAAATGTGTTTCTAACTACAGTATAACCAAATTTAGATGTAATCTTGAATTCAAAAATGAGTAAATATTGTGCCAGTTAAGAAATTTTTCAGTAGTGCAACTTTTAACAGTTGTCAAAGCCCTATCTTCTCTCATTCAAAAGTTATAACCAAGATTAAAGTTTTTGTGACAGATGTACAGCTAGACAGACAGACTAATGGATGAATGAGATATAATGTACCTGAGCCTTCATGAAAATGGGGGACAATTAAAAATAGTGAAGAAATGTACCTTTCGGTATGTCCTGGCAAGATATGAGTGGGTGTCTGTGTGGAATGTTGAACTGAGAGATCACTTCCTGATGCATTCAGCAGATCAAAGACTAGATAACAGTGATCAGGCCTACAATACATGATACCAAGAAATTAATCCTAGAAGTAAAATTCCAAAGATTCTGTCTTACAGCAGTTTATCAAAACACTGTGAAACAAGGAACAACTTTTCCAAGTCTAAGAAAGGTGAACAGAGCATAAAATATATTTACAATATTTAGCAGAACTGACTTTTCAATCATTAAATACATACTACAATGTAATTATATGTTACCTTTCAGCTGGAATGGCATCCCAAGCTTGTATTATCACAGATGGACATATATCGACAGACAAATTGACCGCACACTGTCGACAATAACTGTCCTGTAGCCCTGGACCTCCACTATACTCAATCCGTAACAAGCACTCCACACACTACAATATCATAACATCTTATAACTATACATAGGCCTATAGAGATAAGAGATGTATTAGACTACATAATAATCAACTCTCAATTCTGAGAAAAAGGACCAGTAATATAATATTCCAGTCTTCAGCCCAATGTGACAAAAATCTCTTGTAATACAGTTGTACATCAGGATGATAATTCTTCTTTTTTTTTTTTTTTCTTTTTTTTTTACATTTTATGTGTACATAAAAGGGCAATATATAGGTGGACAGCTAGACATAGAGATATGGTGTTTTAATACTATAGGGCACCAACATGTTAATGTTGTATTTATTTTCATTATTCATGGTCAAAATGAATGCAGCTTTTGACTGCATATATAACTAAAATGATTAACAACAAATTATATGGTGGTCAATGTTCATGGGTTGTCAAAATTTTACTGGTTCATGGGATCGTATTTTCGTGGATAACTCAAATTTACAAAGGATGCAATATATCAATACTATGACAAAGTTTGTTCATGTGGATGTAAATTCGTAAGAAACAGTGACCCATGAAATCCACAAATATTGGTCCCCCACAAACAATGATGATTTCACAGTATGCTTTCACTTTAATGGACTCAAATTAAATCATACAGAGGCTATGATTACCTGTGGTTCAGCAGTTTCGTGATTAACAGTGTCAGACATGAAATCTGACACTCCTTTAATGCATAATGTGAAGCACATGACACTGTTGGGTTGTAGTGGAAGCTGTGATTGGATGTTTTCCATACTCCATTCAAACATCTGGGTTAAAAATTCTGTACAAAATATTCAAGTCAGATAGTTTGAATTTCCAAAACATATCATATCTAGCTACAATTTATACATGTGTATACATGTATTTGATTGTTTTCTTGGTAACAAATTTTAAGTCTAGAGACCTGAGATTGGGTGCATTTAGAGAATATGCAGTGATTATCTCATTAATTGTAGCATCCCGATCTTTGTCAATTTTAAAGTTATTATATGATGGTTCTTGAAGACAAGATTATTACCCCTCTCATCCATTTTACAATTGGTTTCTACATTAACATGCTCCACTGGCTGAAAGCTATTGTTCTGTATTGTGACTAGACATTCCATGCTGAAAACCAAAAAGAGTTCAAAACTCATCAAATTACATGTAACTACATGCATTTTTAACTTTCAAATTATTAAATTTTTATCACCATCAAAGTTTCATTAATGCTAAATGCTAAACTTTCTCTTCCTCAACTTTTCAAAAAGCAAATTCCTAAATTTTCATACTTCTGTCCTGCGAAAAGAGTTGTTGTTCCACTAGTAACAACATATTCACTGTCATTCCCAGACAGGAAGTTGTCTGCTTTGGGCAGCGATGTTGTCAGTTGGATTTGTGGCAGTTGAGGAATAACTTTGACCATGATTTTGTCCAGATTGATTTGTTGTAAGTCTTTCAGTTTACAATGACTTTTAACTCCCATGACATTGGTAAAGTAACCTGTTAGAGAAGTCAAAGTAAAATATAAGTACATGTATGAAAAAAAACTTACATGTATCTATTAATAATAAAGCAGTTCTAAAAATAATCTTGACAAAATTGAGACAACACATCTCATCTAACTCACCTTATTTTTATAAACAAACAAATGTTAAACCCATTATACCTTTTATGGCTATACAAGTCTGTAGAGATTCCTAACACAATTGAAACTTACCTATAATGTCAAGATCTCCTGCAGTCTTGGGCCGCCATAATAACTTGACTAGATAAGGCCCAGTCTCTGCGGGGATGGAGGGATTACAGGGGTAGGGCTCTATCTCCACACCTTCCACCATCAAACCCTGGCAAACACACCAGTTTATAACATTAAGACAATGTAGATTCACAGTGAGTTTACTCTTCATTCTATACACTTCCCTAGTCATTAAAAAAATGAAACATTCAGTTTGTAATTGATATTTTACCTGATAAACTCAAAAATTTCACTCCTTATGAAAATTGATTTGAACTTGATACTTGCCATCTGATTCACTTTCAATTCATCTGGTAAAGGATTGTAAACTTGTAACTGCACTTCACACAAATCACGGGCCACAAGAAAAAAATCTAAAAGGCATTGAATCCATGGAGTTAAAAAACAAACACTGATAAAGGAATTAACAACAAACAAACATCAAACTATTAAAAGATTTTGCTGTATAGACTGTACTGATTCAGACTTAGAATAGAAGAAAATAAGTGTTTATAACATATAAACTAATGGACAACAAACAATGGATGATGCATTGGGAATTAAAACCAATACTTCAAATGAGTGTCTCAGAATACCTGAAAATTGTAAATTTGTAAGCCATTATAAGAGTTTCCCCAAAAGAATCCTTAAAACTTGTTATCTCCCATTTTAGCTCCAACCTCACATTTTTTGGGGGGTTGGGTGGGGAGGGGGATGGGGTTACTTGGAAATAATTATTTACAAAACTTGATAATCATGATGTGAGAAAGGGACATGTAAAGTATGTATATGCTTAATTCCCTAGCTGGCAGAGGCAGATATACTTTATATGGTATCATGAGTAATTACCCATCAATCCATCGTCTTTGGTATCTCTCTGCATCCCTAGATTTAAAGGTGTAAATATGAACGGCCCTGTATCTGAAGCAGATTCTCCAAGTTTCTTTAATTTGACTGGCTCCAGGTGAGGCCGCATTCTAATTAGTTTGAAAGACCTAAAAAATGATGGCAATGAAACTTTTACAGACTAGTGTTACATTTAAAATACTGTAAACGGACTTTTTTCCACAGGGTCAAAATTCCGCGGAATCGCAATTTCTCGGAAAGAAAATTACGTGGATTTCTTAGATTGCCACTATGCTTTAAATGTACTTTTAAAGAGTTTTGGGATATATTTCTGCGGAAAATCTGTGACCGTGTACATAGTGTAAATTAATACCATGCGGAAAAAAGTACTTCTACAGTAATTCTAAAGCTGTTTCGTGTGTGGGTGTATCAACAGCGAATTCACGATTCACATGTTTTAAACGTAAATATAATGGGAATGATTAAATCACTCACTTTACAAAGGGTATACTGGTAAATGGTACAGGGGGGAGGATCATGCCATTATCAAGAGCAAGGGACTGGCAATTTCCGTCCGACTGAGCGGTCAACTGCTCCAAGGTCCGACATATGTCCTTCCTCTCAGAGAGTGACAAGTACTGATGCAATGACTGTATCATAAATGTGGTGTGTCTGAAATAGAAAATACACATATTGCATCTGTGTAAGATGAGCATTTCACATACGAGTTCCAGAAGTGTGTAAGCAAATTCTTTCTATCAGTTTAATCTGACACACATGCAAGTGACACCATATATTAGATGTAGATCATATCATATTTATAAAAGTATATTTGTAACGTTGAAAAATGAAAACTACCAACCTGATTGCAAGTGGTATTTTACCCATTTTACGAGCAGAAAAAATGAGTTCATTGAGCACTCGTGATTGCAGTACAGGCCATCCTGTGTCAGAACCTGTATTATAATGAAAGAAAACTGTGTCACATTTACCTTCAAGCTTTACTAATCCTTTTACAAGTATTATTACTTTGCAATTAAATGATTAAACACAATCAACATTTCAAAGAAACACATGTAAGATCATCTATATAAATTTGGCTAAAAAGTGAATTATTTTTTCCACACAGCATACTTACCAATATGTTTGTCTTTTGGATTATGATGTATATTGTAACCCTCCAGAACCTGCACTAGTAGGCTATAGCACTGCCCCCAGTTCTGCTGTGTGGCCTGGGGAGATGACACACATTGCATGGCAGCTATTCGCTTGAAAAAGGCTGCTTTTCGATAAAATCCAATATCAGAATACAGCTCGGAGAGAGTGCAATACCTAATTATCTGCAAATAAAAGATTATGAGACTAAACCTGATCCGCTAGAAGTACAATGAGTTTTATTTAAACGCTTTTTAAAAAAAAAAATTTCATTGATAAATTTGTAGATACATTATCTTTTAAACTCAATTACATATCAATAAGTTTCTATTAATAAACTTACATTGCGGAATTATTTGTTTAACTTTGCTTCTAAATACTAGATTTACCATTCACAAAAACTATACTAGTACATGTATCTAAGTACTTTTAATGTATCTAAGTACTTTTAATGTATCTAAGTACTTGTAATATATCTAAGTACTTTAAAAGCGTGAGTACAACATACCTTATCCTCTTCGCTGACATTGTAGTTAATGTAAATGACATTCTGCAGGAATGAGGAAGCTTGCAGATGTTTCTGAAAAGTAACACCATTCTGACTATTAGTAATCCTACAATCTTCTAAACAGAAAGTAAAAACAGAAAGTTGTCTTTAAAGAATAAATCAGTGGGCCATAACAAATCTCTGAGTCACATGGGCCATAACAAATCCCTGAGTCACAATGTTCTGTCTGACAAATGAAAATTATAGTGGCCTACATTTAATTGCAACAAATGCCATAAATGTTTATATTTCGCAAGTTTGGTTGAAATTATAGCTACAGTTCTGGAAGAACTAATATCACACTACAATGTGTACAACAGGCAAATTTTGATAAGAAAAGTTAACAAGATTTTGCTTAAATAATATTTTACATGTACTGGTACATGTATATAGATAATTACATTTTAAATTTTAATTTTTTCTTTGTTTACTGAAACTATAGAAAATAATTTTTCTTACCCCTTGCATGGTCAAGACTCTACAAGCTTTCAGGCTGAGTTCTATTTCTATCACTGCTGCACCTTTGAACTTTCAAAAGAAGAGAAAAAAAATAAAGGTGTTACTGTTCAATGAATGTTGCATTAAAAATCAAAACAGGTATATCCATTCACCATCTCTTGTCCGTAATAAAAGTCATGCCAGTTAATTGAATCACTCTGTGTAATACAATCCCATAAAACTCACTTTGCTATAATTGACTAAAGCTTCCCTGTATTTTTCAATGATGTCAGTTGGGTCAGGTGCTACTTTAAACAAATTCTCAGGCACACTTTCTGTTCCATTGGTTTTGTTGTTTAAACTACCAGTCCTCAATTTGGCTTCATTCAGCAATGAAGAGCCCCTTTTTGCTGAGAGTGAATAGAAATTTCTACGTAGCCCAGAAAGTGTTGCTGATTTGGGGTAGTTAATAACTACTGCAGCCGATGCAAGACCTTCGTAACAAGCTAAAATTTAAAAAATATAACATTTTTTAGGCAAAAAATTTTTTAGCTTTTAACAGAACCTCTTGATTATTTTTCCTTATCAAACTGTTCTACAAACTTTTACTCCTTTGTAAAATGTAATACAGCAACAAGGACTGATGTGAACAAATAAACTATGAACAAACCTCCTATCCACAGTGTGTCATTGACTGGACGTAAAATATCTATGGCAGTTTCATAATGTAGGATTGCTTCCCCAGGAATCCCAGCTTGTAAACACAAATCAGCAAGATGCTTCCGTAGCCTTCCTTGACATTTCTTTCGAAAAGACCTGACAAAAATACATGATAAAATTACACTTCTTACTAAAACACCATTGATTGTTAATTTGATCACTATAGACATGAATATGTAATTAAACAATAAATGATCTATGCTCTATGTCAAAATTCACAAGAGTTGTACACACAAATTGAATTATAACATCTTGAGTGACTAATGACACAGTGCAATGCATAAGAAATCTTTTCATCCTGTGCTTAATTTAATTTTTTTTAAACACTTGGCCAATAAAAGTTCATTTCTGAACCATTTTTTTAAAAACAGTTTTTTTTCTGTGACCCCAGGTTTTTTTTAAGACTTTACGTTTGCACTGCATTGACTCATGATGTGGAATTTGTTCAGAATGAGTTATGTAAAATGTAAAAACTATATGCATACTTTGTGTCTGTATCTAATCCAATATAGTCCTTCCTTTCAAATGGTGCACATAAAAGCTGAATTCTGTCATGGCGTTCAAATGAACGATCCAGCCGTTTACCCTCTAACACAAAGAATAATGAAACAATAAATTCTTTTAACTTTTCTTCTAAATCCTGACTATCAAGAATACTTGGAAAGAACAGCACTTCTGCACCAGTACTTTCTTTTGTGAAACTGTTACTGTGTGGTCTACGGAAGACAGGAGTTCCTGGGGGAGTTGAAATTGGAGAACTTTGGAAAAGTGGACTACTTTCTTGTTTTTTCACTACTTTTTTACTAACAAAAGTGATTTTGCCTTCACTGTTTTTTGTACTTGAGCTTGAGGGATCACTTTTTGTCTCTGTGAGGGTAGGTTTGCATGGCTCTGTGACACTCTCTGAAGGACTAATGTCTGATGTGACACCACTGTCCTCACTATCAGCTCTCCCAGGAGATATTCGGTCTGAGTTTGTTTGATCCTCTGTTGCTTCACTCAAAGGAGTCCCATTTCTATTCATACCAAATACGATGAGGCGTGAATTAAACAATGTACTCGCATAGTCTTCTTTGACATTTTTGTAACTCTCAAATAATTCTTCAAACTCCTCTACAGTACTACACTCTCCGATGGAGATCAGCCCTAATGCCTTCCTATGAGCTTGATAGTCACCCCATTCATTATTCTCTTTTGGGTAGTTCTGCTTGTATCGCACCCATGCATTTCGTTTCTGTCCTGGAATGCTCACAGTACTTAACTTTTGGATCCTCTCCCATATTTTTCTGAACTTTTGCTGAGACAACGTTAGTCCTGTGTGTTTTACCAGAACCAACAAACTCTGATGGTCTTCAGCTGTCTGTCCATAATCAATAACACTCATAGCTCCTGTAACACATATAAATTATGAGAAAATATCACGTATATAGTTCAATGTATGTCAACACCCCTTTAATAATTATTTTTTCACTCCTGTTAAATCACTATTAATCAATTGTTCTATCATTCTTTCGAACATTTCTTTTTTAATATCTGATGTAGATACAGTTATTCAATATTCAATGCAATAATATAAAATGTATACTCCAAGAACAGGTACAGCTGGTGTACAATGTATGTACACGAATGCGAGATAATTCGAAATGACAGTAATGGATAACTGTAAACATCCTACTAAGTATATTCACTTCAATCAAGTTACCTTCCACAGCAAAATGATTAAGTACGGTAATTTCTTCACAGTAAATGTTTCTTATTAAAAAGTTGTTTAAAAAATCTGATTTTTGAGTCAGAATACAGCATTATTAATACTTTTACATCCTCTAAGTGGGCCTCTGCGTAAAAATACTTGTCCAATGAAGTCTCGTGACTTCTCGCAAGAACGATTACCCTCAACGGATATGTTAATATTAAAGGCGATCCTACTACATGTAGCAGAGTGGCGCAGTGGAAGCGTGCTGGGCCCATAACCCAGAGGTCCGTGGATCGAAACCACGCTCTGCTAAAACTTTTTTTTTTTTTCTCTGAAACAATTATTTTATCTCAAATATATTGAATTAAGGACATACGCAACGTATACCTTACCTACTGATAATTTTTCAAGATATTCTTACTTTAAAATTACAATGCCATTAGATGTTCGCAGACAAAATATCAGCATGCATTGTCAGGGGTTTTGAATAGATATTAAATGATGAAAATTAATATATTATTCAAAGAAAAATATATATAAAAAAAATTACTAAACATATATCCTAGATGTTTTTTTCATCCAAATTTGTTTTTAAAATAGGTGTACAGCACCATATATAGACATTAAAAAGAGCAGCACACAGATCCTTCAAGAATTGGAACTCTTCAACTCCAGGGAAGAAGACAATAATGTTCAAACTATACGTTGCGTATGTCCTTAACATCATTTTATGTTGAATAACATTACTTACTGTGTTTTTTAATCTCATACTTTTCCTGAATGTAACCCCTCTGTAGAGCTGGCATAAGTAATTTCAGTAAAGCTACATGGTCATACACGTGCTCGCTCCTATAGCCCACTATAAAACAACAACCAATAAATAAATAAATAAAATAATAAATAAACAAATAAATAAAACACAGTATATTAGATCACAATAGAGATTAAAAAAAAACACTGTCTTTTAAAGAAAGTAATACAAGTGGGAAAGATGTGAGTGTGTGTGTGTGTGGGGGGGGGGGGGGGGTCATGTTATGGACCGCCAAATTACGATATGTTCAATATTTGTACTTTTTAAAATTGCTCATGCTTTTCTGTGAAGTCGATATATCTATTGATCGACATCACAAAAGGGCTATATTTGTAAAAAAAAAAAAAAATAATAATAATAATAATCAACAGATGAAACTGATGACTGATTTCAATGCTAAACAGTGTCAATCAGTATGATTGATAGTTATATATACAAAAGGTATATATTTAGCGCTATAAACAACAGTCTTGGCAGAGAAATATCACAGAAATATAAAAATCAGATCTTATTTATTTACACAGGTTAAATTGGGAAAAAAAAAACGACGACAATTTTTCATTTTTTAAATATATTTGAATAAGCGGACAGCTGGAATGTAAACTACTTTGTGCATATCCATACTACATGTCACAATACAAGCCCGTAGAACGAGGGGTACCCCCCACCCCACCCCACTTTTCTGAGTATAGTATTTCGCTATAGTAAATTATCCTTTAGAATCCCCCCCCCCCCCACATACACACACATACGCTACAAGATAGGGCACGGGTATATTCAAATTCCAGGATTTTTACAGCTAATTAGTTTTTTTTGCTTGTCAGATTATTTTTTTTTGGGGGGGGGAGTCCCCCCCCCCCCACTTTTTGGTCAGCTTAGGTTTTTTTTTTTTTTTTTTGTTTTGGCTTGTCACAGTTTTTGGGAAGTTGGCCCCAGCAATTTTTGAAACCGTTCCTACGGGCCAGCAATAACTCTCTATAAGTTAAGACATGGGGAATCGTCCGCCTCCATGTTATAAAACTGTTCATGTTGGATTAGTCCATGTCATATATCGCTCAAAACTATCAGAGAGCACAAGGCATCAAATAACACGGTACCGAAAGACAATCAATAATCAGACACCGATGTATATTATTTGTAAATGACATTAATACTGGCGAGATTTATAGATGTAGAAAATGTGCGAAAATACCATTATTGTGTGCTGAGAGAGAGAGAGAGAGAGAGAGAGAGAGATTTACTGATACCAGCCCTAGTTCATGTATATCTATATTTTATATTCATATTTCTATTTGACTTAAGGCTACATGTCAAAACTTCAAAGACAGCGCATCTGTTTAATTATTTTAGAAAAGTTCATTCAGTTTACCAAGACTTAATAACTCTACGTACCTATAATTGTATCTTTTGTGTTAAGGTATATTTTTTCATTGTGCATGTTAAAATTAGACAGCTGTCCTGCTATACCAGCATAAATTGCTCTATTTTTATAATGTGAATATAAAGCTCTCTGATGAGGCTGTAGATCTAATTTGTTAAAAATATAATTTACTGCATGTGTGCTCACGCATAAATCATTTCTGATTATTTTGATTGTTCACATTTAACAAACTGATAGACTGATAGAGACGGACAGTTTGTGAATTTCCAGGAAAAGCATTTTGACTTTTAAGATCTATTGTTTTACTTTCCCTTGTGGTCATGGTCATGAGGACTGGGTTACACCCACCGTAAGCCCTGTGTACTGATAGGTATACGGAGGACTCCGTAGTCAAATTTAGTATAAAAGCTATGACCTAACAAATGGTATGAATTTAAAGCTCTTGAAATCCTTGTAACATCAGCTTATTTGTCAGTAGATGGCCTCGGTTTAAAAACTGATCGTACTCAGAGCATGCTTTTATCGAATCAGTTGGGAGACATAAATACCATATGCAGGTGATGTTGGAAATTTACAACATAATAAGGGAAGCTGACGATGGAAAAGCTGAATCATTTTGTTTGTCATACAGTTTAGTTATTAGTTAGCCATTATCGTCTCATCTTCGCTAGCCAAGGGTTTCCGATCCGAAATCTAGTAGAGTAGATTTCGGATCGGAAACCCTTGGCTAGCGAAGATGTTGTAGAGTAGATTTCGGATCGGAAACCCTTGGCTAGCGAAGATGTTATCGTCTATAGTCAGTAAACATCCAAATATGAACCAGATGTGACAGACGATTGAGTGCCTTTTATTTCGAGTTCACTGGGATACATCGAGTCCACATATAAATGAAAGGAACTATTGTTAAACTGGTAAAATTTACTAAAATGCTATTCTACCATTCTCTTTGATTTTAAAAAAGCTTGAAGTCCGACTGTCTATATCTCATGTTCTAATTTACAACTGAACTTTTAATTTTTTCATCGTTCTTTTTTGTCTATCTTTTATCCTTTTGATGTAATATTCTCCGTAACTAAAAAGCCACTTTTAACAAATCTTGACGCAAAGCAAGCTTGGACGAAGGAACTGTAATTTAATTGCGAGGTATTTTCTATCATTTTTTTTATAAATGAAAGGAACTATTGTTAAACTGGTAAAATTTACTAAAATGCTATTCTACCATTCTCTTTGATTTTAAAAAAGCTTGAAGTCCGACTGTCTATATCTCATGTTCTAATTTACAACTGAACTTTTAATTTTTTCATCGTTCTTTTTTGTCTATCTTTTATCCTTTTGATGTAATATTCTCCGTAACTAAAAAGCCACTTTTAACAAATCTTGACGCAAAGCAAGCTTGGACGAAGGAACTGTAATTTAATTGCGAGGTATTTTCTATCATTTTTTTTTTCCAAAGAGGAATGGAATCTTAATAAATACCCTTTTGTTTTTATTTTTATGGTAAAAGAGCCACAATGATCAGGGATTTTTAAGAAAGCCCATTGAGCTCATTTTCGTAGGTAAAAAAAAGATGCGTATAACTTTCGCGAATAAACGCGAAACTTTCGCGTTTTAAAGCGTTACTTTCGCGAATAAAATGAGCTCAATGGGCTTTCGTAATAACCAAAGTATACACATCAGATGGAGAAATCAATGTATGAAGAAGACAATTCCTTTTGTCTTATGCAGAATAGTACTTAACCTATTTTTACTGATTTAAAAAATTAGATATATTTTTTCACAATTTGTCTTGGTACTTGATTTCTCAATTACCTTAGATTTCTAGCAATCTAATCCACTGTCTGGGGACATTTTTGACAAAATAAGGTGGAGGTAATCGGACATTCATGAAATCAAAATTATCTACTTTTACAACATGAATAATTTTATGGGTGAAGTATTTTAAATGGCCAAATGGAGATAGAAAAGTATAAAATAATCTGCTTAAATTGTCACACATGGGTAATACTCATCTTTAATTTAACGTACTTTGCTTTGAAATTACCCCTAAAGCTGAATTGCTTAGGGACAGAATGTATCTTAGCTAATTTTGTTAATATACTCATTAGACTCCGTCTAAAAAGATATGTAAGCTCTAATATGTAAATTTGAGAGTTTTTTGGGGTGGGTGGGAGGGGGAATCGAAAAAAAAACTTACAGAGGACGGTGCACACTGATAGGCAGGCAAAGGGGATTTTATAGACGGTGACCCCACAGTATATTACAAGTAATAATCAGGAGCTATAGGTTGATCAACTCCCTGGTACGATATAAAACAGTTATGCTGTTAATATTAGCTTAATGGATGTCCGTATCGTCAAATACGACTAAATGACTATCATATATACATGTACCTGCATACATTAATGCGCAAACCATCTACACAACTTAAACCGAAAAAGCAATTTCTGGCTTGTCACCTCGTAGTGTGTTAACATGCGTTGATAAATGACACCAGTAGTGAGAAGAACATAAAAGAATAAGTAAAAATACCATTACATTTACATGACCGTAGGAACCGGGGAGGGGGAGACGTACCACACCCAATAATAATTTAGAAAACAAAGCTACTTAATGGATGGACCATAATTACTGATGGCACTGTCAAGGAATGTTTGTTTGGTAGAGCCCCCCTTCCCCCCCCCCCCCCCAAACTGAAAATATTTGGTTGTGCCCCCATTCAACCCGAAATTGCTTTCTATGGGTCTGCCATTTGAACCCTATTTTATCTTCAATAGATAGCTCCAATGTCATGACTGCAACAAAATACTTCTGTATTGACATATACCGACACTGTTTGCTTTTTTTAAAATTCAAATTTTAAAGAAGCGTCAGTCCCACTTTAGCTCCTATGTTATACTTTGAATTTGCACTATATCTGTGATTCTTGGAAATTATTTAAAAAATCGTCTGTATGCCTAAGAAAATAGAACTTTTTTCTGTAGTCTTGCTTCTCAACAAAAGAACATTTTCCGGAAAAAAAATTATTTACATTCTTAATTAAAACATTGAAGCCCTACTAATGCAAAACTTAATACCGGGTACTCAAAGGTTATATTTAGATTTACACGATTTTTTTCCCTTCAAATTTTGAATCGAGTATGCAAGATTATTTGAAAATGTCCATGTGGTTGCGGAGACTTTGAGAACAGACGAAAAGACTATGATCCCCAAAAATCTCAAAAAATCACTTCCTCGGGTGAACTAAAGCATCCAAGTTTCAGTTTAAGTGTAAAATAAGGGTCATATGAACAACCTTTCGTAATTTTTAATCCATCAACAATGAACCAGAAATTCATTTGTAATTTAGAACACGTGTTTTGGGCTGTCATACAACAAGCTTATAAACTAAAGAATGACAGAATATCGTGTTTTGGATTTCATTATCAAATCATATTTGAATACCGGTAATCTTGATCTTTAAAACTTCAAAATATATGTAGGTGACATCATTTGACCAAAGATTACCTACAAAAAGGACGCTTTAGTTTAAAGATATCTGATTTTTAGCACTGATCACCAAATTGTGTACATGTAAAAAACATTTCAACAATCGTGACCCTTTGGCCTTGACCTTTGTAAAAGTGATATCAAATAGACGGTTACGTATTCATGTATGTCGTAATCAGAAAGACTACAGTTAAAAATATGTATGTTATTGCATAATTTTTTTTAAATTAAAATGTGACCTTAACTTTAGACCAATTGACCATTAAGTGTCTTTTTCCGAACCATCCTATGTTTATGTAATAAACACAAAATGTGCAGATTACAAGTATCTGGGTCATTGCACCATCTCTATATCTGACCTCAGAATTTGCTGTGTTCCTCCAGCCATTTTATTCTATGTAATACAAAAGGTGTCTGTAAAATTCAACCATGTTGCATCCCACAAATGTGTAGAGGTCAGACCAATTATTTTGCCCTTTAACCTTGAACTTTCACCTGGTCAACTCAAAAAATATAGAAGCAGGCAGACGGAAAACTTTGATTAACATAGGACACCTGCAGGGGCCCTTGCTATAAAATAAATCATAAAACAAGGTATTCTCTCATTAAATGCACTGCGCATCACCGCAAAGAAAAGAATACATTGTGCATTATGGGTCATATGTTCTTTCTTGGCATTTAATGACAGTTACCATAATTAGCGGAGACAGTCATGTGCACATCACGTTCAACTGCTTACATCAAATTTAAGAATTCCTCCGAAAATTGTTTGAAATATTCTCCCAAAAAAAAAAATGCTACAGGGTATGTGTTTTCCACTGCATGGCAAAAACGCAAGCAAAATTAAAACTCTGCAGAGGGAATATTATCTAACATTTACAATGATTTTTCTCCTATTTCTCTTTTGAAAAACATATGTACAATGAAGCAATAATGTTTTTATTAATTTAAAGCCAAATGTAACCTATTCTATATGAAAGAAGTTATAAAGGTCATTTTTTAATGGCTTTTCAATTTATGTACGTATGGGCGATAATGCAGTTTTTTTACGTTACTTCACCAACTTTACATGGATAATTCAATTACAGATAAAGATATAAACAATTTTGTTTTGTTATACGTGGTATAACATTACAACTTGCAGAAAATTTTTAAATAACCCGCTTATGCGGGTTATCTACATGTATATTTTTTCTGCAATGTTGCAGACGTGTTCTCCTGAATGAATATATATATATATATATATATATACATTTTGTTGTTTAAAAAATAATTAAAACTTATGAATAATTTTGTTCATTCCTGTATTTAAACATTTTCTTTCTTTCATTTTATATATACAATATATAAATTGCACATTAAATCACAAACATCTATGGTGAATATAAAATTAAATAAATTAATCGTATTAACAGTAATTTAACTAATAAATTAAAAGTAGATAATAGAGATACCTGTTAATTTTTTCAATAGGTTGTATTCCGACACTAAATCACAAGTCATAGTCAAATTCGGATATCATTGGTCTTGTGTCCAGAAAATCCTTATCCAAATTGATTACACTAATTATATAGCTTAGCTCCAACTGTATTGCAGTGTGTACTTTCATTATACTGAGCGATAGTGTACTAGGTTACTAATATAGAAACAACAATTCATACAGTCACGTGCATGCATAAGAATAGCATCCTCATAAAGATTGTCAGAAGACGTATATTAAACGTTAAGATTTCCTATTAGAATTTTAAATCTTGTTTTATTTACATTTTTGTAGTGTTAAACATCCAATGCTTGTCAGTTATATTTCATTCAACAGGCTTCGTAATTCAATTTCTTGGAGCAAAAACTCGATTATTTAATCATTACTTAAGTAATAGAATTCTAATGAAATTTGAAGCAACCACAAAGAAACTTGCATTGAAATATGGCCGTAGGAACGGGGGGGGGGGCAGTAATTTTGCCGATATAATAGTCTACTATAGAAAACAAAGCTACTATATATGCTTGTGACCCCTCACTCTTCACTGTTGCCTTTGATCTGGTTCATAGTTCCTGCCAATGATTTTTCTTGACTTGGTCAACCATTTCCTTTTTTTCTTTCTTTCTCACAAAAATATTAATTGCTACAAAGGAGAAACATCAGACTCACTGTGCTACAGCATATTCTAGAAGTGGTGTAAATCAAATGTGGATACTTAAAACAGAACTTTTAGAAAATTTAAAAGCACATTTTTTTCCAAAGTCAATAACATGAAAGGGTATGACTTTCCTACACTTTATGCAACCATTCCTCACGGAAAATTAAAAACTAGGCTTTTAGATATCATAAACAACGCTTCTTCAATAAAGATGGACCTCGGAAATTTTCATATCTTGTAATGTGTCATCCAAAAAATACTTTGTTAAAAATCACTCTTATTTTACACACAAGACCTCTGAAATTGATATTAAAAGGATGCTGGAGTTCTTGATTGACAACATTTATGTAGTCTTTGGAAACCAGGTCTTCCTACAAACTGTTGGAATTCCAATGGGCACTAATTGTGATCCTTTATTAGCTGACCTGCTTGTATATTCCTATTTATTCAAAAATTCTACATGAGAAGCAGAAAACAGTAACCTTGTCAGCATTTCGGAAATTCTATGGTCGTTATAATGACCTTGTTAGCAAATATATCTTATTATTTGGTTCGTATTTTGACTGACATGTTTCACACCAATTGTTAGGCCTTTGTTTTCACTAAGTTTGACTACGGAATATTCCATCAAACTGATCAATACACAGGGATCACGGCAGGTGTGACCGGTCGACAGGGGATGCTTATTCCTCCTAGACACCTGATCCCACATCTGGAATTTCTTGGGGTCCGTGTTTTATGCCCTGTTTACAGATTTGTATTTTGTAGTTTTTTTTTTTCTGAGATTGATAACCTTTTACATTCATCATAGTTGTTCTTGCCTATGTTGCTTTTTGACCTGGTTCATAATTTTTCTTGACAATATTGTTTCCTGACTTGGTCCAAAGTTGATTTTACTTGTGTTATTCTTGACTTGGTTAATATATACATATTATATATTTGCTTATGTTGGTTCTTGACCTGGTGCATAGCTGTTCTTGCTTATGTTGTGTTTTGACTTAGTTCATAATTGTTCTTGTCTGTATTGATTCTAGACTTGGTTTATGGATGTTCTTGCCTGTGTTGGTTTGTGACTTGGTTCATACTTGTTGTGCCTTTGGTTTTTCTTGACTTGATTCATAACTGTTCTTGCCTATGTTACTTTTTGACTAGGTTCATAGTTCGTTTTGCCTAGGTTTATGGTTGTTCTTGTCTGTGTTGGTTTGTGACTTGGTTCATGGTTGCCCTTGTCTGTGTTGGCTTTTAACTTGGTTCATGGTTGTTCTTGCCTGTGTTGGCTTTTGACTTGATTCATAAATGTTCTTGTCTCTTTTGGTTTGCGACTTGATTCATGGTTGTTCTTGCCTGTGTTGGTTCTTGGCTTGGTTCAAAGGTGTTCTTGCCTGTGTTGGCTTTTGACTTGGTTCATGGTTGTTCTTGCCGATATGGTTCATAGTTGATCTTGAATTTGCTCTTTCTTGATTTGAATCATATTCGCCTGTATTGTTTCTTGACTTAATATTTCAAAATTCAAGGACACTGTAGCAATTTCGCATGACAATAATGATAAACCAGTCACATATACAATGACAGCTTTTTTATTCAACCATTTAGTTGTGTATTCTCTCCATATCTAATCGTTTTTGATCATCTTTTTTAAATGTTTATTAATTGCTCATTATAATAATTTATAAAAGGACATGAGGCTGCTGGCAGTCCTAACGTTTATAGGACATGAAAAGAGAATAAGTACTATTGCATGAAATCCAGTTGTGAAATACATCTGTTTCTGCTTTCACACTGTATATTTTAAAAAAAAAAAAGGAGTTTTCAATGAGAACCACTCAAATAACAATATTTGTACTTTAAATCAAGTCTTTAAAACAATTTTAAAAAGTAAAAGAAAAAAGGGAAGTAAAATAACTAAAAAACTCTATCTCCAAAATATTCCTAGAGCAGTTCTGATTCCAAGAGCAGAATACCGGTACTTGAAAGGATGTGAAATTCAAAACGACAGTTTTGATACCGTTTAAGAAATATCTGAAAATTCAAACAAAAACAAGACACTGGTTCCTTTCATTTTTCTTAATGTCATTTTCCAAAACAACCAATAATTTAAAATCAGATAAATGTGATATTCTGCTTCCGACATTTTATCTAAAACACTTTTCATTTGAAGTTCTTGTCACAATAATTAAAATTTCCTATTAAAAACCTCAAGGCCAATGTTAACATGACCACTTTATGACATTGTTGGTTAATTATTCGTTAAATGTGTCCTATATGGTAATTAACTTGCAGCTTAATATGATATTTATGCACTGAATTGTTTACCAAATTGGCTCGTGTCAGAAATTTATAAATAGTGGTGGAAATATTTTGACAAGTTTGACAAATTCTCTTGTGTGCCTAAGAGCATTATCATGTCCTCTTAGACGAAGTGAGCCACTTTGATTCACATTCTGGATATTTTTCTTGTTCTTCTAAAACAATCGTAAACCTAACTTTTATATAATAGTTAGCATGTGGGTGTACCGTCCAGTACGATTGCCACTCATGTATGACCTTGACCTTAGAATTAATTACTTATTTTTTGGCAAGAAAATCCACCCCGGAAAGTCTTTTTTCTTGTATGTACCTGCACTCATTATATATATATATATATATATATATATATATATATATATATATATATATATATATATATATATATATATATATATATATATATATATATATATATATATATATATGGCATGTTGTACCATCATATATATTTTCCCACTTTCTGCGAAAATACATGTTTTGTCAACACTAATCACAAGGGTTTTATTAATACATGTAATTTGAAGGAGAGTGACTCCATTTGTAGCAGTAGAAAATAGACAAAGTTATGGATCGCAGTAACTTAACGCATGCACACAACTTAATTACAAAAAACTAAAAGCAACAATAAGAAAAATCCAAAATGGACGGGAGTAATGCAGTGGAAGAAAGGGGTGGGTTATTTTCACTGGGTAACAAAACTTCAAACTCCAATATTTCTTGACAAACTGAAGGAGAGGCAAGTCATATAGTGAGGAGGCGGACGGGTGAGGTCTTCTTTGTTTTTGCCCCACCTTCACCCCGCCCCACTTTAAACTTTTCTTTTTCCCCCAACTCATGCAATTTAGATTTTGTTGTTTTCATTAGATTGTTAAACATAGCATAGAAAATTAAAAGCTGAAAAAAATCGGAACACATACATGTATATGTTTTAATATATTTTATAAAAATCAAATAATCAATTATAATTAATACAACGGTGTAAGAGATATCTGTGTTAAATGTTAATGTTAAATAAGGCCATTTATTATATTAAGAAGTATAATCTAAGTCCAAGTCACACCACTTTAGTTTTTTTTTTTTTTTTTGGACAAATTATACCACAAAAATACTTCCTCAGACGCTTTATTTGACGCCTTTATTACAGTGTCATACACAACAATGACGGTTCTGGGGCCGGTGAGGGAGGATCAGATTTTTAATCAGTATAATTCCCAATGTAGTAATGCAGATTGATCAATGTTCATTATCTTCAACTTTTACATTATACTCCTGTGAGTTATCTATGGTACCCCTCCCCCCAAAGACCCCCCTCCAACACCAAACACCTAGGATCAAATATATCTTTGTGTTATTTTGCTTGTCAGGAGTTTTTGAGTTGGATATAAATCATCACCTTTTTAGTTGCATAGAGTTTATTCGCGATGCATATCAAAGATTGACTGATTGACTGTATGTTGCTTTACGTCCCATTCGAGAATTTTTCACTCATAAAGAGACGTAACCGTATACCGGAGAAGGGCTTCAAATTTAGACGTATACTCGGCAATTATGGTCACTGAGCAGTGAGGGTCCTTTATCGTACCAACGCCTACCGTGACACAATACCTCGCTTTTTAAGGCCTCATCCGAAAGACCCATGACTTTCACTTCTAGTGTCGGGCGCTTGGCGAAGGAACAGTGACTAACTATGTTCATGACTTAGGTTTGACGCGGCGCGGCGAACAAGAATCAAAACCCGTGCCTCCCGATCACAAAGCAAAAGCCCTACCACTAGACTATCGTGATCAAAGATAATGCAATAGCATAGGCAATATCATATATTTTCAATGTAAGTCAACTGCTGGCAGTGACAATTTGACAGTGACAGTTAGTAGTCGTATATGAAACCCCATACTATTGTTCGCACAAAAATTGTTGCCTTAGCCTGTGGCCTTGTGAATTTTAATTAATGTTTTAGGGGATATTGTGGCACGTACATGAATAGTTGCCTTAGTGTGACCAGATGAGTTTTTAGGGGATTAGTGCTGCATGTATCAAACATTTTTTTTGTTTTGAATCCTCTGCATCTTTAGCATTCTCTACAAGAGAATCTCTATTTCAAGGTTCACGT